TGGGTGAAGGTTGTTGCTAAATCTATAGATGAAACGGTTGGTTCAATTGAAGTAGATGTTGAGGTCGTTAATGATGATCTTTTTTTGGATGTTTCTGTAATTGGAGCAATATTTGCAAACAAATCAGTTGATTCGATTAAAGGTACTTCTCCTTCAGATACCGTTACGGTTGATGAAATAGATGCCGAGGTCGTTAATGATGATGTTGGTTTTTCTACAGATAATGTATCTACAGGTGCTGATGTATCTACAAATGTTGGTGCTGATATATCTTCGGATTTTGATGTTGGTGAACTTTCTTCATTTTTACTTTTTGTAATATTATCTTGTGATGTAGTAGCAGGATCCCTTTTTGATAATGGTTTTCTATAACCAACTTGGTTATTAATATAATTTATACATGGGTTATTACCCTGAATTGTATCTAACTTTGGATAATTAATGCTTATCGGGGTGATGGTGCCATTTAAATGAATCAATCGTAGCGTTATTAAGGGAGCAAGACAATTTTTCTGCATGTCTTTTTCAGCGATCCTTAGTAAAATAGTTCCATCTCCGTAAGATTTACGTTCTAATATTTGGAATTGGGAATTGGGTGAAGGTTGTTCATTAAAAGTTAATATATTTATGCTTGGCGGTGATGATGGTAATGCATTAATTAATAGTATTCTTGATGATAATAATGAAGATTGTGAGTGTAATATTATTGGCGACCTTGATGATAATGTTAATGTTATTGATGATGATGATGATGATGATGATATTATTGTTATTATAAATGAAGATAGTAATTGTGTAATTATATTAAAGTTGGATGATATTATTAAAAATATTATTATTATTATTCTAAAACTGTACATGATTAATTGTCTTTATAGGGAAAAGTTAAATTTTTATTTTTATAAAAAATTTTCCTTTATATATAATATAATAATATATGCTATAATGAATCTATATTTCGAATAAATAAATAAATATATTTAAATATATGTGCGTTTATTTAAAATAAAAATTTTTTTAAATGAATTAAATTAAAAAAATAAATGAAAAAAGAATGAA